TTCTTGCCCTGAGATAAGGCTGTACGTGTGGCATGTACTGCCCTGCACTCGATTCTACCAGGAATTGACTTGAAATCATTTTTGACAAAACCACTCTTATGAGAATGGAAGTGAAAAAACTCCACTTTTATCGGAGTACATTGCTGGGAAAATTCTTTTCAAACAATTTTTGTATGTTCCAGAGATACTTATGTGGAGCATTGTAAGGTTTATACTAACTGATTCGATAGGCTAATTTCTACATCTATAAGCTCCTTAGGGTGAACCAAAATCAAGGAAAAATGACAATCGAGGAAAAAGCAAAAGCTCAAGTCGGAGAAGCAAACGCTGAGGAGTCAAATCCGCTTTCCACGTTTGTCGTATGGGCGGTGTCTGACCTACTAGTGCACCTCCCTCATTGCTCTCTCCTCCGATTCCGAGACTGTGACGGGGTGGATTACCGATGAGGAAAATACAATATTAGGAAGAACTTCGCTCATACGACCGGCGCTGTCTGAGCTTTAAAATAGAGAACAGGAAGACCAGGGGCAAAACACAGTGGAATGAAACAGGCGTGTTCATACCTGAATCACCAGTTTAGGTTCTGGCGGAGGATCCATATGAAAGGAATTAGGATCGTGATTGAACTTCTTTTCCATCTCTGTCAGATACGTATAAACACAAGCCTCCAAACGTTCACGTTCATGTGTTGTCATATCGAGGAATCCTTAAACGTTTCTCATTGAGCAGAGTTTATAGTCAATGAAGATTCTCATAGCAAACTCTTCTTTCTAAGGCAAAATCTTCTTTCTCTGTTCAGGCTTCAGGATGACGGTAACTGTGAGCGAGACGCTGATGATGTTTCAAATCTTTCAAAGAGCCATCTGCTATGATAGGAAGATGAGGAGGCAGGAATGTGCAGTGGTAGGTGAAGCCGCTTCCCCCTTACGTTTTTGAGATCAAATCTTGGATCCAGGCTTGCCAAGCCATCCTTCCCTACGGAGCTGGTCGTCAGAAAGAGCACGTCTTGCGGTTGGGGGGGGGGGAATTTTTGCAGAATAGGACTACTTTGAAATGTTCCTCCTATGGTACAACCCACTCACCCTCTACGATCCTCTATCCAACCGTCCATCTTCCTGAGCTTTCCCAACCTCCTACCACCTCGCTAGAGTTTTTTTTCTCCTTTTTTTCCAGGAACTGACGTCGAGAATGATCCTCCTCTTGTCATCAGGAGGCTGCTAGCGACTGAATCGCATATAGCGCATTTGAGACAGGAAAAATCAGGAAAGTCAATAACTTGAAGCATTCTCTTCTCTAAAGCAGAACGACCATCCTCCCAGCAACCAATTACGCCCATCTCGCAGGGGACCAACGTTCCCTGTGTGAAGGATGGGAGGCGAGGGTACTCGTATATTGCCTATTCTTCGAATGGAAGTGGTATTCGAATGGTATTTGTTGCGGGTCATGGAAAAGCACAGCTAAATGCTTTATTCACTTTCCAAAGAGTGTCATGTCCCAACCGTGGATGGGTGTGGCTGGGTGTTAGCCTCAATCAGTATTCTAGTAGTATGTGCGTTCATTATTTAATTTTTGGAAACCTGTCAGGCACGGTTCAGTTCAAAAAATCTCTATATTTCACTAGGAAAGCATAGGACAACTTTCATGTTGCTTGATGGGCGGAGCGTGCGTAAAGGGCGGGGTTTGCGAATGAATGCGGGTGTCTTGTGTCTCTCACAACTTGTTAGCCGTGATAACAGCAAAAGTGTATTATTGGAGCTGTACTTTGCTATACCAAGCCGGAAATGGAGACTGTTTCTAACCAGGAAATTTGCTAATGATAG